GGCACAACAAAAGACCTTGGCACTTCAGAGCACTCAGCTTCCAGAATAGCTCTCTCCTTCAAGTCTTAGGAGCCTCTCTACTGTCTCTTGGGCTTTGGAAAAAAGTACCAATACTATTAAAAGCGAGGAATTATCCTAAATCTGATTGTGAAGCAAGAGTCCTGAGAGCATGTTTACACGTGCCAGCTCCCAAATAATCCTGTTCTTATTGACAAAGAATGGAAAGCCAAAACAGAGCCCTCTGAGGCAGCGCAAGGCTAAGGAGCTGGGCTCTGCCTTTGTATCGCATGTAGAGCTGCCCCTTACATCCAGGTGACACTCGTGAGTTCCAAGTGGAAACGGCCTGCGGCACCATCATCTCCGCGGGTGGGAAGTATCAAAGCAAGGCAAAGCGCGAATATTGGCACTAATGCCTCTTCCTGTGTATTTTTGCAGGAGATGCCACCTACCTGGACATCTTCCAGGAGTTCTCTCAGATGGCTTCCAACAACCCTGAGAAACTCAGGAGCAGGAGCCTACATTCCAGCCCCTCCCGCAGGCAGCCCCCCGCCAAGGCCTTCTGCTGGAAGGGCAAGCTCCGAGCTGCCGCAGCTCCACCAGCACCCGACGGCAGAGACGTCTGAGCCGGCGTAACGGGCGAGCGGAGCTCAGCTACCGAAGAAAGACGTTCTCTCTTCAGACATGCTTCTACTAGAAAGCTGTGTTTTCCCTGGTGTCTGCTTTTGTACCCTGACCAGGAAGATGACAGACGTTCCCGGGCTAATTCCAGAATAAGCATGCATTCCGGCTGCAGGCTTACATCCCGTGCCGGGCAGTACCTGAGTGCAGCTTAAAATGAGTTAAGCTGATCTTTTAGCGCTCAATGCCCTTTCCACATTGCTGTTTCTGGGAAAAATCTCCCCTTTCTGGGTGTAAGCCACCACTAGCATTTATGATACTGCAACAACGCCCACCCCTACCACGAAGGCCAGGTGAGCGGTGCTGACCGGTGAGTATGCCAGGAGGAGACCAAGTGTGAAGCGCTCCTAAAACCGAGCAAAAGTGAGCGTCGCAGGCTTTCAGCGATGCTGCTTTGCAGCGGTGCGGCCGGAGCCAGACTGCCCAGCTCATCAACAGGCAGCACCGGCCCCCCGCCGCGCTCTGAGGTAGGGCCGCCTTCCCACAACGGTGGCCGAATGCAATTCCCAGGGGCGCGAGGCCCCCCGCACGCAGACCTCCCGTCCTCTCACAGGCGAAAGGCCGCCCAGGACACAGCACCCGCCTACCACTAAGCCGTAGTGGTCCCAGTCCCCACCAGTCCCCTGCCAAACCTTTGGCAAAACACTTCGTTTCGCTGTGGAGCTCAGCTCTTCAGATACCTCTCCCACCGAGTGCTTGCAGACGTTTGGTTTAGCGTGGACCAGGAAACAACGCCGACTCCATGGAGACTTCACGAGCAACACGGAAACAGAATCCAGCTCTTATCAGGGGCTCTCTGTCTCCGGCCGGTTGTGCATCTCACTGTTAGGAGAGTTGTACTCTGCTGTAAAGCACGGCTTTCGGTATTATTTTTGTCATTTTTATTACTGTATGTCATAGTTACCAAAAATAATAAAAGGTTATGTGTGGACTATAGAGGTATAGGCACCATGCATAATAAATGCATTGTCAAAATGATATATATGAACGATGACGTGCTGAAATGTAATATATCTTGTGGCAGAAGAAATGTATTTTTTTGAAAAGGTGGGAGTGAAAAAATCCCACATGCAAACAGTATCTATGAACGGAGAATAAAGACGGGAATTTTTTTTTAAATTCACACACATTTCCTCGTTCTTTCTGATTCTAGATCTTTACAAGCCAGTGAAGCACTTTAGTATGAGAAGATTTAAAATATGAAGTTTCTCTGGCAGAGGTTTATGGCTTGAAGAGAGGAAGCTAAATGAACTTTCCTCCAAAGAGACAGAAGATTCTCACTCTTGTGGTAGCCCTTCTGTTTTACCTGATTAAGGCACGCTCTAATTTGATTAATGCTATTAATGAAACCCACTAGCAATGTGGCAGCTTAACAGACATCTCAGCCCTTCTGGCAAGATGCTTCTCCAAGAGACAAGCCTCCGAGCATCTCCCTAAACCGGCAGCTTGCGGAATGCAGCTTGCAGAAGCCGTGGCGGCCACGGGGACGCAAGGAGAGCTGCTGCCCGCAGTGGGACGCGCGGCCAGAGGAAGGCCTGGGCTCCCCTCCCCTTGCCGGGCTCCGGACGACGGGCTTGCAAGAGGGCCGCCGCTCCTCGGGCCGCTAGCAGCCTTCTGCTCGCCTTTGCAGAAGAGCTTGCCGTGCAGCCTGCAGCAGGAAAGGGACTTGAAGCAACCTGCTGCATTTCCAGCGGCTCAGCTTGAATTTCTATGGCAGGTATCATAGCAGCTTTCCGTCGGGGAAGAACGATGGCCTGGCGGTTGGAGTCGAGAGCTGGGACTCCGGATCGATACCTTTCTATGGCATTGCTGCGTGGTTCTAACAGTGACTCCCGGTTGTGCCTCGGTTTGTGCTCCACGCTGGAAATGCACAGCGCAGGGGTAAGGAGCTCCAAATAGGACAGATATTTCGGTGACGATACACAGGCACTAAGGTATGACCCCAATGAAGAATTTGTGCGGCTGATTTCTCAACTGCAGCAGGCTACGGGAATGTTCTGTAATAAAGAGGTAGCTACTAAGCTGAAAATTAGTCCACACCCTCAGAGAAGATCGCTCTAATCTGCCTTCAAACTGGATACCTATTACCTATGCTTCCACTAGCTTAGAAATCATTATTTTATTCTACTAAAGGTGGCACAAGCAGATGTGAAGCAAATTTTCCCCATGTCCCTCTCCCATAGTGACCCCCCTCCCTTTTTCCTCTTCCAGTCTTATGTCTCCGTGCTACCAACAGGCATTCCCTGCCCACACACCATGCTGCCAAGGCATCTCCCTCCTGGCTTGCAACAGCCCTTGCTCTTCTGGGTCTGCACCTGCATAAACCGAGGCACACGCCCCTGCTAACAGATCCTGTCCTGTGTTGCCACATACCTCGTGTCCCAAATCTGACCACGAGACAAGGCATCGCCACTTGATCCTTGGTCCTGTGCTCTTCTGTCCCAAAATTGGCTCCTCCTGGAAATTATATTACATGATGCAGAATTCGGTAGTGATTTTTTTTCTGCATTGGGACCAGTATAAAGATTCTTCCATCAATTTCCTTTTCCTTTTTCCTTCATCCAATTGCCTTCAGCCTTCCCATTTACTCCCAGTGATAACAAGGCTGGGAGTTCTGAGCGGGGCTTTCTTCCGAGAGCGAAGCGTATGCGTACGCACACATACGGACGTGTGGACGCCTAAGGCATCTTTCCGAAATGACTGCATGGCATCCACTTGAGTTTTGCATTCCCAGGGCATGCCCAGTTGTTCTGCTTAGAAGCCTCATTCCTTTCCTCTCTCTCTTGTCCTTAGTGCTTTTTTCTTCACGGCATCCTTTCTCAGCAGGGCCACTCGGACTGCAGTAGTGCATAAAATCACTCTTGCCAGCCCGCAAGGAAGCTGTACGTCCCAGTGCAGAAGACCCAGAGAAAAGGCTGAATCGCCCACATGTTCCTGTCCCTTGTAACCTGGCTGCTGTTAGTACAGCACAATTCATCTGGGTTTGGTCTACGTCTCTGTAGATTCTCTTTGGGAATGAAAAAACCCAGCAGAGGGGCAGGGGTAGGCGTAGGGAGCCCGTGGGGAGCGCTGCCGGGAGGATGTCCAGGCTGTTAGAAGGCTCTCAAGCAAAAAAGTGAGACTTTCAGAGGTACCTTTGTGCTTGGCTTCCAGCGATGTCAGCAGCAAACTGAAGGCTGTGAGGATCCCACCTCCGTGTCTGGAACCCAACTCTTTTCATGATTTGGCCCTACACATTTAGGCTTCCACAAATAAGGTCTGGGCTTTTTGAAAAAGACTTTTCCAGAACCAACACTTAGAAGTAAAAATTAGGCAGTAATAAACCCAAATATTGGTTGAAGGCAAAACGAAGTCAACTAAACCTCCATTCATAGTCTGTATTCAGAGCATTTTATTATTTAAAAAAGTTATAAAACAAAGCTCATCGATTTCTTGTTAACTCTTGTTTTCTACAGAAAGTCATAAACAAGATTATAACAGAGTAAAATGCTCCTGTGCAAACATCATCATCAAAAAATAAACGTGTTATTTTATGTACACATAAGTTACTGTCAAATATTAACATTAAAACATCTCTATAAATGGACTGCAACAAAAACGCAGCATTATTTTAATCTTCAAAATAAATCAGATGCTTCGTCCGTGACATAAAAAAGTTATCATCAACCCCGTTTCTTCTCTTCCTTTCCTCTAAGACAGTGAGTCTCATTTGAAATAACCTGGGCTAAGTCTAAAAGCACCTCAGCAGCAGCATTCTGTGCACCGTCCTCAAAATGCAACAGTGACAGGTTAAGGAGAGAGATGTGTCTTGGAAGCAAAGCTGTGATCAGAGCCACCTCCTGTTACTCCATGCTCTGTTATCCTCAAGGCAACGCTGACTGATACGAGCCCACGCTCCTCAGCCTCCACTGGAAACCCTTCCATTAACAGCCAGGCTGACTTTTCTCTCGAGTACCTTTGTGAAATGTAGACAGGGCTGTCTGAAGCCACAGGCTGATTTCCTCACAAGGGTTTAAAATTTGAAAGCTATGAATAGGTTTTTATGAGGACTCGAGGGCTGTCCCCGAGAGCAGAAGTACAGTTCTCCCCTCCCCAGATACTCATTAGGAACAAAAGAACATTGCATGATGCCTGAATCCAGGACACGCGGGTGGTTTAATAATGAACTTGTAATAGCTGGAGGATTGCCAAGCTCAGCAGCGTGGTGTTTAGGTGCTCACAGATAGTGGATCCACAACATTTCTGTTTGCAACCTTCCTGACAGCACCTGAGTGTTAGGGGAGTTTGAAGTCTCCCATTTCTCCCTGCACACACACACCTCCTTAGCTATTCAGTTCCCCTTCCAAAGAGCTCTCCTTCGTGTATCTAAATCCATTAAACACCACGTCTGGGCAAAGCTCGGGCATTTCCACCCTGCTGGAGAGGGGGTGAAGAAGCAGGTCACTGTTGTTGTCCATGGCAATAGTCACTCCAGAAGGGTGAGTATGAGCAGAATCATCACCTTTTCCAGCTTCTTCTTGCACAACTCGGTAGTTTTCTAGGGTCAAGCTCACGCTGGGGATGGTAGGAGTGTGAGCTACTTTCAACGTCTTCTTTGACCTGAACCTTTGGTAGCAGAAGAGGAGAGACAAGACTAGCGTATCTATAAGCAGCTCAAACATTTCAACTACAGACAACACCGAGGATCCAAACCAGAGACTCCACTGGCTTCCCATGCTGGACAGAAGCAGATTCTCCTGTGGAAAGAATTAAAGGGTTGTGTTTATCAAACACAGCAGAGCTCTGGGAACGTGAAATTATTGCATATTGCCAGCAGGTCAGTTAGCTGCCTGCCATTTGGGGAGTAATTTTGTGTGACTGTGCAAAATGGGAAATTTTCAAGTCTCTTCCTTAAGAAGAATAATCCCATCCCATGTCGGGGGCTGTATATAACCCTCCCTCCAACCGCAGGCAGCACACCGTAACGAATGACAGGTAACAATGGTCTGAGCTGATGTAGCGCAACCTACTGAGAGTAAAGGAGACTCGTTCACAGACTGGTAGTTCAGTTGCTGGTAGAAGATTGTCACCTTGGCAATATCGTTCCTGTATCGGAGAAAGGGAGCAGTTAGCAATGGTGGGATGTCCACATGTCATTCACCTGGTGGAAAGTACCGCTGGCATTCTGGTCTCGATTTGACATGCTGATTGCTAGGCAATAGGTTTCACCACTCACTCAAGCTGTCCTCCTGAGGGTGTTTAACATGAGCTTGCAAAAATGTTACCGAAGGGACTGTCTCTTACAGTGTTGTGAGGAAAGACAGGAAATTTTTGGATGACCCTGTACGTTTTTCCCTTGTCCTCCCTTTCCAGTCTAACATCTACAAATTCTGCAAAGGTGAAGAGTTAATCCATCGTTTGAACAGGAGTACCTTCTCGCAGTGACTAACCTGTTGCTGGTAGAGTTATATCCATTCTGATGCCTTAGAGCTTGGCGGATCCAGTCCTGCAGCAGAGTATATGTATGTTATTGGCAATCCTGTCTTCTGAGTTTTTGTATGTTTAATATTTTGTAAATGTAGAATTCGTAAGCACTAAAATGGCTATTTCTAATCATAAAAAAGGATGTAACTGATTGGTTTATAACATATAGTGATGGCTATCAAGTAGTAGCTATGTTTTCCAGAATAGCAAGGAAATGCACACTGATATTTTAGATGTGTATAGTATTCTGGTTCTTAAATTCTGCCTTTAATGGCAATCCCACCAAATAATTTCCTCTTTTAAAATGTATTGGTGGTATTTACATCTATTAATGACCTGGTCATACAGCCTGAATGCCCATTTAACATTAGAACATGAGAAATGGTAAGAGGTCATCTATTGACTCACAGAGTTTCCGTTGCAGCGCTGCAGCACCTCACAAACAGTAATAAATGAGTTGTTACATCACAACACCCACTGGAAGCAGAAAGTCATTAACACCATTTTGTAGGTGGGAACTAAGGCAGTGAGGTGAATTGCTTAAGGTCACAAGGAAGTTTGGATTAGAACTGGAACTGAATGTACCTCTCTAGCATCTTCATCTGGCATCTTAACTACAGGGTCATTTCCTTGGGCCCAGGTTTTAGACCAGTTTGCTTTATTTCCCACTTCCATTGCTGCTGCCTGCACCATTGTTTTCACCCTCAACTTTAACGTTGCAACAGCCACAGTAAATACAGTATCCCCTCTAAACAGAGCAGTTGTCTGTATGGGCTACCTGAGACTTTGCTGATGGCCATTTAGCTGTCCCAGCAGACACCTTGTACAGTGATTCCCTGATAAGATAAAAATGGAGATTATGATCACTATGGCTCTTGGCATTTAAAAGTGAATACACAAAGGAGTTTAACACTGCTAACTACTCGCCCAAATCAGAAGTTCCAGGAGCAGCTCTTGAGAACCTTGGAGAAAGCTTTGTAAGTCAGCTTAGAAAATGAAACCAGAGGTTGCCTGAAAAATTATGTCTTTCCATTTTGAAACTGACCTACAATAAAAAGGTGAACCAAGAAAAGTAATATAGACTGAAAAATGACACAAACAATTTGGGTTTGGGCTTAATAAAACATTTCAGTGTGATTAAAACAAGTTCCCCTCTCTGCTGTCATGCACACACAAGGTTCTTATTTATCTGATGCTTTAATCTTTTTCCTTTCTCAGCATTGGGGTTCAAACATCAAACTAAAATCTCTGGTTCAAAAAATGCCAAAATTCAGTTGGCCAATTGGTCCATAAATTTTCCACTAAGTTGTTTACATTTCCACTGGTGTAATTTTCCTCTGCAAGCTGGCATTTATTGCGCTCTACTTTCGTGACCTACCGGCAAGGCTTGGGGCACTGGTCAAAACAATTCAGGTGATGATTTCTGAGCCTGTTGTACAGCTGATAAAAGCAGTGACCTGGTGAAAGAAATGGGAGGAACACACTCAGACACTTCCTCGGGAAATAGAAGGCTACCAAACAGAAGGCTACCAAAACCTCTGCCCTCACTTGGCCTTCCCAAGCACAGAGCACTCTCTCAGAGAGATCTGGTTTTGCCTCACTCTCACTTTGGAATGGTTCCAGATGGCCGAGCTAATCCCCTGTGTGCAGTGCAGGTGCTTTCCCTGTAAGGATCTGCTGAGGACAGGCCAACCAGAAAACCAGGAGAAGTTACTCAAAGCTTTGTCTTACACCAGCACAGCCGCTAATATTGGTAACATGAAAGAGCTTGACCCTATATTAATATCCTTAACAATGGGATGATTGATAGCATCAAGATTTTTTATGAACTAACTTGATATCCATGCAAATACACAGAAAGGCGTCTGCCATCTGGCTGGATTCAGTGATGTGAGGAAATAGTCTAAGCAGGAAACAGGCACCGAGTAGAAAGGCAGTAATCTAAGGAGTCATGTAACCAGTGACTATTGTAGGAAGGTGTTCCCTTCTGACACGGAAAAGATAGCAGTCTTGCTCTTACCCCATGCAGGCTGCTTATTGTAGTTACAGTATTCAGCACCGGGAGGCAGTGGGTAGTAGTAATAACCACAGCCACATTTTCGAACCATTAACAAAGAAGGCATAAAAGACTGGATAAGCCATAAATTCTCAAGTGCCCAGATCTTCAGTCTGTAGCATGCAGCTGCTAGGAGACAATGTACAGATTTTGTTGCTGCAAAAAGACACCAGCCATTACTAGGGCATGATGATGCAAAAGGTTTTCACTTTTCTTTCCTTGGTTTTGCCTCTGAAGACAGTATTGAACTCAGTGAGACAGAATTTTCCCCAGCTCCCTGTTTCATAATGCCCAGTAACATCTCAGTTAAACAGCCCAAGCATCTAGAGCCAGGAGCAACTACTTGCACAAATAAAGACCTGATGGCCCAAGAATGTCCTACTAGAACAGTCCAGCTGCCTTGACTGGCTCACTCTGATCTCTCCTGTGTTACAAGGAGGGAAGAGACCCAGTGTCTGGGAGTGAGCATCCCTCACTCAGTAAAACACATTCCAAGTTATAACACCCTGTTTGTGAGCTTCTTTTCAGAGGGGCATGGATCTTTCTGTTACCTCCAGCAATGAACTTGCTGATTTGTAAAAGCTCTCTGGAGAGTAAGGTATGACTTGTTTGCTATTCATCCACTCTGAATAAGCTGGGGCCTCAGCCGGCCACTCTGACAATACCTGCAGGGTGTAGGAGTTGTTGTACAGGAGTTTAACATTCACATCATTGCCATTAGTCGTGCATTTCCCATAATTGCCCCCCAGGCGATTCACCTCATCCTGTGGACACAGAAAAGAGGCCTGAGTGATTAAGAGCTTTAATTGGACCTAGCCATCACCATCTAAACTTAACTGGATGGAGCGTCATATAAAGGACAAGAAGTGTAGTAATACACGTGAGCAGCCAAACTATACCTTGCCAGTAAAACATACACAGCAACAGGGCAAAGGTAGGAGAGTGCACATGGTCAGTCACTGGTTCAGCTGACCAGCAGTAACTTACCATGTCAAAATAACTAAATCACTTCTGAATGTTTGTTCTAATCCTAATGTGCCCATGCAGCCCCTGTGTAGAGCTGGAACAAGATGTGAGAGGTGTAAGAGCCTCAGTGTAAAGCAAATCAGGCCCCAATGTATTGAGGACCAAAAGGCCACTTGCACATTTGGAATAATTTTGTTTTACCCATGGGAACCTGAGCACAATGAAGAGAGAAAAGGGGCTTGCATAAATATACATGCACAGTCAAGAAGTGAACACAAGAGTCCCACAAGTCCGTTGTATGAGTCAGTCGCAGTGTTCAGCTCCTCACAACTTTCTGCAATCAGAAGGAAAAGAAACAATGCCCTTGAGCAAGTGGCTAACCTGCTGAATGCCTATGGTAGTTGCAATGCCTGGTCTGATGTCAAAGCCTTCATGCTCAAGGAATGGTGTCTGATTGTGGTTGTGTATCATCACTTTCACACCTGCTACTGTAGACAAGAGTGGGATGTGATCCTTCTGCTCTGCTCTCAGGATAAGGGAAAGTCCTGTAAACCAAAGACAAGGGAAGCATATAACAACTTATTTTGGACCAAAATAGGAACACCACCACATCTTGAATTCTCAGCACTGATCAAATTGCTGCCTTAGCTCACAGAAGAGCCATTCTTTTTCCTTAGAGACCTGGTGAGTAGTCAGGTAGCAATTGCACCAGCCTATTCCAAAACTGTAATAATATTCTGCTTGAAAACTAAAATAATATTCTGCTTGCTATAAGTTAAGATATGGTTGATATGGCTATCATATACGTGTGGCTAGTGAACCAACAAATACAGTACATAATTTGTGCCACCAGGGCTAGAAGAGAGGGCTATATGTCTGTAAGTCATGCATAGAAGACACATACTTAATCTATAGCCAAATTATATTCACTTTAGCTCTTCTTCCCACCCTTTGCCAAATAACATACCGTAAGGAATTCCTGGTTTTGTAGCTGTCCAAAAAGGGTCTGTTCCCTTGCTGTTAAAAGTATAGCAGCTTCCAAAGACTGGGTGGTGAAAGTGAACATAGTCACTGAAATCAAGAGAGATTTTGATGGGTTTAATTATGAGTGTAGCAATACCTTTACTTCTATGTAGGATGTGTTTTGTGTGTGTATGTACAGGAGTGCGATGGAAGAGACAAGGAAAAAAATCAGGTGCACAGGGATTCACTGCTCACCCAAGGTTACAGCCAGAGTGGCAAACATAGGAGCCAAATTCAGAGTTCTGACTGGCTTTTCCTTCCACCAAGTAGACCAAATTTTTCCCTGCTTGTTCCAACAACCAGGCAGGTTGAAGTTCTGTGCTCTAATCAATAGGAGAAATAGATGATCTCTTTCCTTGTTTTCTTAAAAATGATACCACTTATTATGATCATGCTGAACTTCCCTGGCCAAGTCAGCCTCCACATTCCACCAGTTCGTAAGAGTTCTTAAAAAGAGTTGGATGAACACAGGTACAAAACCGACGATGCTCACCATCAAGTGCACAGACGGAGATATATTACATGAAAGCATCAGAAACACTAAGTGCAGAAGAATGTAAGAGTCAATCGCCTCCAGGAAAGACAAGATAGGACCTTATCTTGTAAAATGATCTACAACAAACTTTGTAGACGCCTCTCCTCTTTGCTGAAAGTGCTCAGAAAAACACTTAAGTTTGCCTTCTGCTTATTCTGTGTCATAGATGAGTGCATTGCTATTAACTTTGTTCAAGTCATCAGCTGAAAACAAGTAGGCCAGCAAATGGCTCGTGTGCCTGAGGCACAGCATTGTCTTAGGTGGTGTATGTCAGTTGTATTTGGAAGAGCTTCCAACAGTGGAGACCGTAAGCACACAGGAAAAGAAGGAACACCTTTGCGTTTGGTATGTGCAGCAGGCTCACTTCTTTGCCTCTAGGGACAAAAGGATGCAAAAAGACTATCTGATCCTTGTGCCATTAATTGAGTCCTCCTGGCATAATAGTTGAGAACAATCCGCGTGCTCAGGGGCCAAGTGCTACAGTAGAGTCGTGAGAGCCTTCTTCCCCTTCTCTCCTCCCTTTTCATTGTAACAGCAAAAAGAGATCCCACATTTATCCTTTGGATATTTGAGGATTCCTGCTCCTTTCCTCCCATGCAGATAGACGTTAATCATTTACCATTCAATGCAGTCAATGCATCTTTGTACCAGTAAATGTTTAATTACTGCTGAATTTCTCTTAGGCTTCTTTGACACCCTAAGACACTAACTCACAGTCATAGAGGTAAGCCATGGCAGAATGCCGATTTCTAGGTTCCTAGCCCCACGCTCTGACCATGGAAGGCTGTTCTTTCTTTCAGTCAGATCTCCAACAAGGGCTAAGCCTGGCAGTATGCCATGAGGTGCAGTGCCTGCACTGCCGGAAAGTGTAGGCTCAGTTTCAGATTCCCAAGTCCTTGGGTTCTGCTGAAATCACAAACAGCATCTCAAGAAGTAACATACCTGGGTCTGCAGGGCTCCCCATCATACTGACAGGAGTAGACCATATCTTCTATTTGCTCCTCATGATCAGAAATGTTGATTATAACTGGTAGCTGGGACATGATATTCATGTAGTGAAACCTGTACCATTCAAGAATTGCATCCATCCCAGATGAATAGGTCTTGTAGAAGCAATTCCCACCTGTGGCATTGCACTGGAAGAAAAGAAGAGAGGGAGCCATTCAGCACAGCGAGAACATGACAGCCTAAGGGTAACAGAGATCAGGGGGTAAAGGCAATACTGGATACAGGGACAAGGGGAACCTCTGTTTTTCCAGAAAGCAAAGCCTCTGATCATTTTAGTTATCACAGAATCACAGAATGGCTGAGGTTGGAAGGGACTTCTGGAGGTCATCTTGTTATGTGCTAAGCACCTTCTCTCCTTGAAGCTGAATTAGGTGTGCTACTTCATCTCAGGGGAATGAGTGCAAGGGAAAAGAGGCAGAAGAGAGCAGACGAGCAAACTCAAGTACCTTGGGAGAAGGAAGGACAGGGCTGGTGGGGATTCTCTACAACCCATGAATCATGAACCAAGTCCTGAGATGTTTTCTTTGTTCTTACTCAGGCCTTAGACAGGTGAACACCCACAGATTCTGGTGAAAGTGTGCCTGGTGAAGGACTTCAGGATAGGGCAGGACAATAATAATCAGGCAAAAATTGCTGGCCTTTCAAGCCACATCAATTTCTCTCTCATGGCTTCTGCTCTTAGATCTATGCTAACCCTGTTTTTGGTATGAAGAATCTGAAGCATTTGCAGTCTTCTCCAAAGTCACAGATACACATTTATCGTATTAATCGTCTTGATTTATTATTGCCATGTTTAGTTTTATCTGCAACATTTCTAGTGCCCCCAGTACCACAGCATTTAGACACTGGGGGAATCCTCGCATGTTGTTTCTCTTTTATTTCTAGGCTCACCTGCTACGTCTGGATGTTTTGTATATTTTTAGAAAGGGGTACAATGATTCCCATAGCCTACTGCTACCATTCTCTACTGAATTTGTCACTACCAGAAGGACTTTACAGGTGGGTGGGCTGTGTAAGACCATTGATGTTGCTATTGTTTCACTTCACAAGAATCCTGGCCATCAGCATAAACTGTTAGAGGCAGGGATGGACTCTCCTGAAACATCCTCCAAGCTGTCATTGCACAGCACTGAAACTATCTGTTTTTTCACTCATTTTTTTGAATGCACCTTGTGAGATCTTTGTCAGGGCCCTGATTGCACTGATAGGCGTTACGGGCCCTGAGCAGCCTCACCTGGAGCCTCCACCCACACCCTCTGCCCACGGGCCCAGGAGCTCATTTAAGCTCAGCTCAGGGCCTTCAGTCCCTCTTTGGGCTGTGCTGTAGGGCTGCTGCTTTCCAGCTAGGCTGCTGCTGTGCTTCTGCCTCACCACGGACCCTGTTGATCCAGTGGGCTAACTTCGTGCCCTGATCTTGAACCTGCCTCATTGCCGTGAACTTGCCTGATGAGCTGGACTCTTGGTTGGACCTGGCTACCATCTGTGAGCTTTCCCTGCTCGCTTGCTCAGGTACTGTGGGATGGGCCCCTGTCCTGCCCTGCCGGCAGGCTCCCTGGCTTCCCCTCTCCCCCTGTCCCTTAGGGAGCAGCCAGTCACTGCTGCTTGTGT